GTATTCCTTTGTGTGTCAATAAAATTTTCTTACTCTGATTGTGATATTCACAAACACCGTGCAAAATTTATCATGTTCTTATTCTGATAGTGGTGCCGTGTTTTGCTGTAAGTTGTCGTCATATTTAGCTAAATCACTAATAAAACCTGAAAGTAGGCTGAGTCTGCCATTATTTTTTAAACGTGACTTGACTGTGAATAACTGAACTTTTCACAACGGGAGAAACAATTAGCCTACGACATAATTTTGCTAAACAGTTTAAAATGACAGTAAATGTATTTTTTTTTTCAAAGTTTAGAATACGAGGCTACTAAGTCAACGAAAGGTGAAATATCTTTTCAGCTGAAAGGTTTCAGTGGAACATTCTGGTATTTCACCAAGAATGTCAGACCCCATGCGGTGCTATTTATCTGAAACCATGCACACACATGCAGAAAGCCAAAGAAATGCATGTTTTTTTTTATCTGAAAATGACAGATTTATATCTCCAAATGGCTTTCCTCGTTTTCTTTCAAGCATTTAATGGCGTTTAGTCGGACTGAACACCTTGGGTTAAGGTGTAGCGGCACGTCATGTCTCTCTGCGCGGTAAAAGCCAGGAAATCCTGGGCGTGCGTCCTCCAATACAGGCGAAGACAACAGGGCTGCCGTTCTGGAATGTGTGGGACACGGTAAAAGCGTAAAGTACTCCGAAAGTTCTGGTTTTTATAGGAGGGTGTAGATAGATGAGAAACGGCAATATATAATAATAATAATAATAATAATAATAATAATAATAATTATTATTATTATTATTATTATTATTAGATAATTTTGCACTGGCTGGCATTCTGTACACTGTCATATTATTCGTGTTTCCTTGAATACTTTCCAAGCTCATCTCTATCCTACAATGGGTAAGAGTAAATGGATGGATGGATTAATTTAAAAGCCTGGACCAAAACTCCTAAATTAAAAACTGACAAACATGGCTAACAAAAACTGAAATATTTGTTGCGTTTCCCTTAAAATGTGTATTTCTCTGAATACTTTAGGTTGAGTATTTTTCTGAAATGGAAAAGTTTCCAAGGTGTGAATATTCAATTACGGTAGAAGTCATATCAAATCTAATGAGCCACCATTTCACATGTATGACCAACATCCTGCCAAGAACTAGGAATGATATTTAAAAGAGTGGATCTTAAGGTTACCTTCACATGATCGCAGTGTAATTGTCTAATAAGTAATAAAAATCGTAATAATAAAAAAATACATAGCAAATTCATTAATTGTGACATCACAAAAATGCATAGCATTCACACAATTTCCTGATGTATGATTGAGTAGAAACGATTACCAAACTGTCAAATTTATACTGAAAATACTCCCAATTACACAGCAATATACATTAAATGATCCCAAAAAAAGCCGCGATAATTTTCATAATCAGTAAATATGACTGTACTGTTAAATGGAGTTTTGAGGTAAATTTAATTGTGCATAACAAATTCATTGAACAGTTATGATTGTCTAAATACTGAATGCAGTTTTTGGTTCAGCTGTGTTGCGAAAAGGATGAGAAATGTTAGCTGTCCAAGGATGATAGGACCACTGGTTGTGTTACTGAGCTGCCACTATACTACAG